TACCTTCTGATAGGCGAGATCCTGGAGGCGAAGTTCAGGCTGAACGTGTCCTGGGCCAACCAGTGGAGAATCATGTCGACGGGCCTCTTGGAACGCCAGCCCGAGATGATCCAGCCGGAGAACTGCGCGGCAAGAGTACATTAGTGGCGATGCCCGGCTACATTGTTAATAAAACCCCTTAACGAATTAATCGCATTAAAAATGCCATTTAAAAAAATTTATATATTCCCATAAATTCTCATCAGTAACATATTCCCAAACCAAACTAGGAACACTAAAATTATTGTAAACCGACTCAGGTTAGGACACACCAAGCTCACTAATCCTCCCTACATAGATAGATCACTTCCAAATACATGCCCGTTCTGCAACAACTCGACAATTAAAGCAGGCCATCCACAGTCGAATTTGTTGGACGAACATTTTCGCGAACACAGGCAAGATAAAATCGTTTCTATCTTTGTCGAACAAGACGTCGAACAAATTTATATGAAATCTAAACGCGAACAATACCACTAATTTAAGAAACCATTTAAGAAAACTGTCCCTCAATAAAATATACAGTCGAGCCGAAAGCCTTTTTTTTTTTTAGCTTTACTTCAACAACGAATGTTGAAACTTTCAACTTGAAAGTGATGGTTGGTCGCACGACTAGTGCATATGACCAGATACTTTGTCTTGTTTGTCTGTTTCAAAAGTGCTAAAAGTGAATCCACACCACGAGGTCCCTTGCCCTACCCGGCTTGAAGTATGCGTGTTTCTTCAAGGGCCTGTGAATGTGGACTGAACCGAAAGCCTTAGTTGCTAGCGCTCTAAAAAGTCTCAGTTAGCTCATAGTTTTTCACTGTAAGTTAGCTTTATATAAATAAATAAATAAATATTCTCATAAATCCTGATTCAACATCGTTGAGTTACCATAGTCGTAGTAGAACTTCAAACACATTTTCGGCGTCAAAAAATTTCGAAAAAAAATCGAAATTCCGGTCCGCCCTAGAAATTGATCTGGCAACTCTGTTTTTGGATTTCAATTTAGTGTTAGTGTGACCAAAGGCCAGTTACGAAATGCACTCAAAAAGTACCCTGTAGTTCGCCGGGACTGGTCCCGAACTAGCGAAATCGCCATACACCGGGGGCTTGGGACTAACTCCCGTTTATACCACCCGCAATGTAAATTTCTATCCACTTTTACCACGGCATGTCCTAGGCGGTGGTCATATGGCGAAGTTCTGCATTACCTTTCGCCACAAAAGGGACCGATAGGTGGTCCCATATTATACCCCTTTTCGCCACAAAAGGGGCCACCTATCGGACCATCTATCGGACCACCTATCGGTCCCTTTTGTGGCGAAAAGGGGTATGAAATGGGGTTGGTGTTTTCAATACCAAAAAAGCTGAATGCTATGAAACTTCCCAAGAAAAAATACTTTTTGTTAAATTAATTTATTGTATTATAAGTAGACAATTTTTCTATTTTTTTAATTTATATTTATTGAACAAATTCCTCTGCTGACACGTTTTTGTTGAGTGCCTCATTGTTGTTATTATTTGATTTGGATTTATTTTTAAAAAATCGTTTCTTTTGCAAATGAATTGCCTTGGGAATCAATATTTCTGCATTACCAGATTCTGAAACAATATCTAAAAAAAATAAGATTTTAGTGTTTTAAAATAAAATGAGAACAGAAACTAACTTCGGCAAGAAAAGCATAAATATAAAATAAGAATAACCAACAGTTAAATGTAGACTTATTTCACGCTTTTGAAACTTGAACCGACAGACAGACGGACATGGTTAAATTCTCCATTACTGCGTAACAAACTTCTGGACTAAATTATAATTCCCTCCGCATGGGTTTAAATATATATTTTTAGATTTTGTTATACAAGCCTGTTTACATCAAACCATGTTTTAGAAGTGAAAAGCAGAAAAAGACAGAAAGAAATAGGATTAAAGACAGATGGCATTGTAAGTAAATAGATTGAAATTGAATCAAGAAACTAAGTGTATTATAAAAAATACAGTTATAATAATAACCTACCGTGAAGTGCACCATAGAAATGTGTAAAGGAGTTTACGGCTTTTTTTCCAGAAAGGCCTTTAACATTAAATCCCACAACAAACTCATCCGTGAGAACCCTCCGCAAGTTTTTTAAACCCCCTTCTGGCAGCAACAACGATCTCATGGCTTTAATCTAAAAAGGAAGAAAATTTCACTAAAATATTTATATCAAAGAAAAAAGACTTACGTAGGAGTCCTTTGCACCACTATTTCTCTTTCTCCTCTTTAACAAATCGACGAATGTGCCTGTTGCTGTTCATGGCTAAATATCACACATTATTAGGTAATTCACTTGCACAACTCATGGTGTTACTCACCTGTTGACGACACTTCAGATCACAACAAAATATAACACTTTAAATGTACAATAAGACAAATTAAATACAATGTTTACAAAATTTGGCGCAAACGTTGGGTTAGTGATGGTAGCGGGGTTGGGTAGTTATGGCAATCCGTTACGATTAATATTGCGACTACCGATATCGTATAATCGATGGCAATAAAAACATTCGCTAATATTATTTTTGTTTAGTTCTATATGTATATAAAATTAGGTACTTATATATTTATTTTATATATCTAAGCATCAATAAAATCCGCTTGTTATGGAAGGAAAGAAAACGTTTTGCTACTGAACCACCGCTATTGTTAAAAATATTGCTGCAGCTAAATTGCTCATTATTAAATATAAATAATATAAAAAGAAATAAAATTCTATCATTTATTATTTTATTTTATCTCATTATTAAGTTTGTATTTTATTATTTTAACTTTTTTTAAATTTGTTTTTTATAAAAACAAAATAAAGTTGTATTCGTTATTAAAATCATTATATACTTGTCAAAAATTTCATTTTACAATTTTTTAAACTCATATAGAAGTGTTCACATAGAAAAGTTCACTCTCCGATAACTCTTTTGCTCTTGTAAAAAATACACACGCCACCTATTGACCCTTAAGGGACCACTGGGTGGTCGATCCCTTTTCTACCCCGAAAGTGCCACCGGCCCCCTTGAGAACTACAGGGTAGTCTCCAAAACACACACACTTTAGGGCTTTGGTGTTTATACCCGTTACCCGTTAGTAAAAGGGTATATTGTATTCGTGCAAAAGTATGTAACAGGTAGAAGGAACCGTTTCCGACCCTATAAAGTATATATATTCTTGATCAGGGTCAGGGTTAGCCGAGTCGATCTAGCCATGTCTGTCTGTCCGTCCGTATGAACGCTGATTTCGCAAAATTCAGTTTTATTGTATTTATCAATACCTATCGAAAAGTAGAAGAAATTTTTCAAATCGGACCATTTGTTAAAAAGTTATGACCGATCAAAGTTTTATATCTCCATTTCCCTTGCACTCCCTTTAGCTGTGTAACGGGTATCTGATAGTCGGGGCACCCGACTATAGCTTTCTCTCGTGTTTTTTTTTTGTGTGTATGTCGAAAAATGCTGTACATTGGAATTCCAAATTATTTTATGGTTTATTTTATATGACAACATAATTTAACATTACTTTTAGAAAGTCCTAGAAATAGCGAACGTTGGATTCTGCGGGGGTTTCGTTTAATTCTAGTTCATTATTGACTCCATTCATTCTGAACGAAAGTGTGTTCGATTTCACAGGATCCACTGCAACTTTTCCACTTATCCAATCAACAAAATTATGAATTTTGGTAAAGACAATCACATTACTCTCAATATGGCTTATTATGCCAGCCAGGAAATACCTTTTTACGCTATTAACCTTTACATACCTACCTAGCACTGAACCAGGTAAGCCACGAATAAAACCGTTACGATTCTCGATACAAAGTTGATTAGGTTCAACTGGCATTTCTATTTTTTTGGAGCAAAGGGAACTATCGATCCGGGTAACTGGTCGCGTTTGGTGGCTTCTATTATAATTATTATAATGGCGATAGAGAAGGGTGGTCCATGTTTTTAAAGGGTTTGGGTATACTCTGAGGCAGATAGGACTCCCAATTGCTGAAAAAAGATTTTTTTTTAAATATTTAATAAATAGCTTAAAACGAAGTTACCTGGATTTGTCACTTTTTGATCAAGTCCCAGCAATGCTATATTGTTCCTTTTTGATGATGTGGAGTAATCAGGGTGTTTGTCGATCTTAACTACAGCAATATGAGAGTATCCTGATCCCAAGGTTCTATAAAAAATATATTAAATAAAAAGTTGAAAAAAGTATTGTTCGAATAGTAAAAACTGCTATTCTTCTTACATTTTAGTTACATCTGTGGGTAAATCACTTGCAACAGTCAACACATATCCTATCGAATTATGAAAAAGAGTATTCATAGCGATTCGAGAATATAAAAAGCAGGGATCGCAAGTAAGAGTTACTTTTTTAAAAAAATTGACAAATAAGTTTTATTTTTCAATTTCTATTATAAAAGTTGACAAATAAGTCTTATGCTTCAATTTTTATTATAAAAGTTGACAAATAACTCTTATTCTTCAATTTTTATTATAAAAATCAACAAATAAGAGTTATTTGTCAACTTTTATAATAAAATAAAGATTGAATTGAAATAACTCTTAAACTGTGGGGTACATTGGTTTAAAATTTAAATATATATAATCTACGCTTTAATACCTTTCTGTTGATATGCCATATGTCCCCAAAATATTTTTTATGATGTAACAAATATTATTATTATAAAAAATATTTTGGGGACATATGGCATATCAACAGAAAGGTATTAAAGCGTAGATTATATATATATAAATATAAACCAATGTACCGTACAGTTCAAGAGTTATATCAATTCAATCTTTTTTTTCAATTTTTATTATAAAAGTTGACAAATAACTCTTATTTGTTGATTTTTATAATAAAAATTGAAGCATAAGAGTTATTTGTCAACTTTTATAATAAAAATTGAAAAATAAAACTTATTTGTCAATTTTTTTAAAAAAGTAACTCTTACTTGCGATCCCTGATAAAAAGTAAGTACTTACGGTCTGTGATCAGGGTGCCTGCAATATAGCGCTGAGGCCCCTCGGAAAGACGCACTGCAATCTCATCAGGGAAATATCTGCCACACTCGTCAAATAAATGGCCGGCGTATTTCTTCACCGTATTAACTATCCAGGTTTGGTGGCTCTCCACATTGGTGTAAATGCCCGAATTGTCACACGTACCTAAACCGGAGCTCACGATCCCAATCTGCACGTAGCTTGTTTTCCCCTGATACGTATAATCCGCCCCCAAGGGACCACCGGAGTCGCCAGCACAGGAATCGCCTCCGTTCAATGCTCGTGCGCATATCTGCTCATCGCTGATGCTGATGGCCCTATTTAGGGATTCAAAGCATTCGCTCCGGCTTTGCCGCTTTACTTCGATGGTATTAATTTGATCGCTAGCATCGGAGTTAGGAGACGTGACGCCCCAGCCGAAAACGCTAGCATGGACATCCTTTGCAAAATGTACAGCATCATCAACAATAATGCAAATTGGCCTGACGATATCTGCAGACATATTAAATTGTAAAGCTATATCAAAAACTAAATCAAAAAGAAAATGCGTAGACTTTTACCATTATACTCCACAATGCTACTTAGTCTTATTAGAGCTATATCATTCTCGTGCCGACGTCTGTTAAACCTGGGATGAGCTATGAACTGGTTTACTGTAAACTTTTGTACCATTTTGCATGTTTTGCATGATCTGTCCTTCTCTCCAAGGCGCACGAATCTATGACAAAATAGTTGACGTGTCAATTAAAGTCAGGAATTTTTTTTGGCCCACGACTAAAGGCTACAAAACCTGAAAGGATTTTAGCTATAGATTACTACCTCATACTTGTAATTTGTTCATCACGTCACAATTCTGAGAAATCAGTGGTCAAAGTTCCAAATTTACGATTATAGGCATTAGTAAAATCTATTGTAGCTAAAGATGTAAAGGTCTCCCTACTTGGTGGTTGGAAACTGTTGAAGTTAAAGGTTCAAAGTACCATTTCCGCTAAATTGTGACTCTGCGCTACGAAAGGTTTTCTTGATACTAAGCCGCAATAAGTGCTTAATTACACTAGTTTTTTTTTAAAGATTTTTTAAATTTCAAAAAAAAGCTAAATTAGATATTAAATAGCTAAAAAATTACAAAAGTGAATTTAATATTTGAAATTTATTAATTATCCAAATGGATGTTACTTATTAAAAATACTTACAGTCATAACGCAAGCATTTTTATTTTTTTTTTTAGGAATTTTTAGAAATTAAATTCATTTATATAATTTTCTAGCCTTTAAATTTAGCTATTTTTTGACCCCGTTGCCGTCACCACTCATTTATGTTTACATGTCGCCGCCTATGATAAATCCTAAATTTGGACTCTGTCAACCGAAAAAAGTGGAAAAATCCTATCTTTAAAAATCCACCATAAATCCAGTTTTCCTTAGATTTGGGCCATATCCGGCTTGTTTTATTCGGTAGGATGTAAACTTTAAGTTTGTAACCATTATGATTTTTCAACGGATTTATTTCGAGTTTTTACGATATATACAGCCGACTTACAGTCCACCAAAAAACACATTTTTCATCTTTGTCAAGCTTCTGCGCTGCCATTACTAATCCAATCATATTGATCTGCATGCAAGCTAAGCTCTGATCTATTGACTTTAAAATAAAACTAAAACTGGCTCAATCGGGTGGATATCTGCCGAGATATAAGAAGAAATTCGAAAAAAAGTCCGAAATTTAACATTTTGAACTTTAAAAAATCTTTAAAAAACACTGACAGAATTTGCCATCAATTGCTGGGGAGCATTTTGGCTAGTGTAATCGAACATTTTAAACTTTGAACTTGGGCTTTTTTTTTCTGACCTGTGTTATAACATAATTATAAATGATCAGTCAGAACTTACCGTATATTATCACAGTGAGCAGCTGTTAAAACGAAGCCTGAAAAACATGAGTTTTAAAATGATGCTTTAACTTAAATTACTCACACTCACGTCTAGTAATAAGCGTTCCACCACATATAAAAACATTATTTCTACTATATAAACTTGCCATCCACGCAGTGTCCATACGCATAGCGTTGGTGCCATTGACTATTCTTGGGCCAAGCTCTATATGACCCTCGCACATTTTGTCCAGGAGATAGGCTGATCCCTGGTGGGAAAGCAAAACCGTGAAAAGAGCTAGCGAAAGCACAGACATCATGTGCAATGAAATGAAGCTAAACGACTGATGCTGATCAAACTTAAGCTTGTTCATTTATGAGAACTCAATTCGAAAAAGTCATCAATATTAATTCCACTGATAAGGCCTGCTGAATCATGCCCCGACCGAACGAATACTTGCCGAAATCACCTATATTTTGGCAGAGATGAGCTACACGTGTAGCTCTGATAATTTCAAAGGAAATTCCGAGACCTTTGTTGACACTGATAGCACAAATCTCTTCTAAGAAAAAGTAATTACTCAAAAATTTTAATTTATTTGCACTGCATTTGAACTGACCTCAAAAGTGATAATACTACTTGATTTTATTTCTTAAAAATAGATTTCTTTAACATTTTTAATGTTATTATAAAATGTCAAGCATGTCGACCACGGTATTTTAATGTCCAGACTTACTCACCTCATCAAAAGGGCACCGAATAGACAATGTGTATACAAAAATGTCGTAATCTTTTTGATTAAAGTCAGAACTAGGCTTTAATCAAAACGAAATTCAAACAAAGGCTTACGTTAAATTAATATGAAATCCTGCGGTGCAGAAGGGCCTTAAGAAATCAACTACAGCCAAGTTTCACACCAATAAGATACGAGATTCTTGGTTTACCCCCGACGCGGTCACACTGCCGCGATTTGGCGCCAAAAAACGGGAACAAAACTGGTAAACAGGGTGTACCATCACTTGGCATTTGGTATTTTTTGGCGCATTTTGTGTTGGTGCTTGTGTCGAAAAATAAAGGCAAAAATTCGCAATGTCGACGCTGGAATTGTGCGAAAAGTACTTTGGGACGCGCGATGTGTACCAGCTGATGGGCCTGGCCAAGGGCGCCGCCGAGAAGGAGGTGAAGAAGGCCTACCACAAGCTTTCGCTGCTGGTTCACCCCGATCGAGTGCCGGAGGAGCAGAAGGCGGAGTCGACCGAGAAGTTCAAGGTCCTGTCGAAGCTCTACCAGGTGCTCACCGACACCCAGAAGCGGGCGCTGTACGACGAACAGGGCGTGATCGATGACGACGACGAGGCGGAGTCCAAGCTGTCCTCGTGGCTGGACCTCTGGAGCAAGATCTTCAAGCCCATCTCCGAGGAGGACATCAACAACTACGAGAAGGAGTATGTGGACTCTGAGCTGGAGCGCACGGACGTGAAGAAGGCCTATTTGGGGGGGAAGGGGTGCATCAACTACCTGATGAATCACGTGCCCTTCATGAAGGTGGAGGACGAGCCGCGCATCCAGAAGATCGTCCAGGAAATGATCGCCAGCGGCGATGTGCCCGAGTTCAAGATCTTCACCGAGGAGCCGGCGGCGAAGCGCAAGAAGCGCCACCAGAAGTACGCCCGCGAATTCAAGGAGGCCAAGGTCATAAAGGAGCGTCTGAAGCGCCGCCAGAAGGAGAAGGACGACCAGGAGCTGGCCGACAATGGCGGCGATCTGCAGCAGATGATTTTGGCGCGTCGCAATCAGCGCGAGTCGAACTTTGGCTCCTTGATGGACCGCCTGATGAAGAAGTACGGCAACGAGGACGACTCCGATACCGTCGACTTCAGCGCCTTCGAGAAGAAGAAAAAGAAGTCCAAGAAGCCCGCCAAGCAGGAGCCCAAACAGAAGCTCAATGGAGTCAAGACTGGCCGGGTGGAGAAGACCAAGAATTAGGGTTTTCTTCCGCTCCTTACTCGTACTCTCTTAAATTTATTGTCTTAAAAGTATGCCTAGTTTAGACTTAGTTACTCATACATATTATCCATGTACGTATATTTCACATTTCTGTAAAATTCATAGTAAATTGGGCGAAAAAAAAGAAAAAAAATCATTTTGAACGGTCCACATCGACTTATCAGTTTTTTGCAAAGTGCCCAATAAATTCAGAAAATTTCTGCAAACTAATTGTATGTCTACACTACTTTGGTTTGCAAAGAAATCAAATAAAAGATTCAAATGTTATTCCTGGGTAATGTTTGATATATTTACGTATTTTAGAAGAATTTTTGAATTTCCATTTCATCGACGATCGAATCTTTGGACTTTTGGTCCGAGAAAGTTAAAATTTCTTCAAAATAAGATTTTTTGGGGTTGCTTAAAATGTTAAAATTATGTTTTAAAATAATCAGGGGATTCTCTAAATTGTTGAATTTTGGTCAGCTGTTCCATACAAAGTAAACTTTCAGAAATTTTAGCAATTCAACAGTTTATTGAATCCCCTCAATATTTAATTTAAAATTTGTGACGTCACTACGATAACCACCTCGACCTCTGGTAATCGTGCCAAAGCAACGGTTGGTCATACTAATTCAATGCTGAAGAAATAAATTTTATAAACATTGCGCACTTTTTTCTAAAAATATGAGAACTTGTGCAGTGCCGAATTGCCGAACCAGAAAGAATACGGCTCTGCAGAAACAGGTGTGCTTCTTCGCGTTCCCCAAGCGCCCAAGAGCATTCAGACGTTGGCTCGCCTTCTGTGGACTGACGATGGATACCCTGAAAACCAAGAATCCCATCATTTGCATTGAACACTTCAAGGATGAGGACATCCAGGGCGCCCTAAAGTTCGAGATGGGTGAGATGGTGCCGACAGTAGGACATTGGAAATGATCAACTAAATCCTTGTACTTTAACCAGGACTGGCCAAGAAACGCACCTTGCGACCGGGAGCGGTTCCCTGCATAAACAGGGACAAGGAAAGTGCCAAGGAAAGAGCCAAAAAGGAAAGGAAACAGCGGCGCAAGAACCAGAAACTGGTGGCCAAACTCCTGGAGGAAAGCGAGGCCAACACGACGACTCCAGCTCCAGAGGTCTCTTGTCCAGCCAGTCCAGTGCGGGATGTGGATTTATCAGAGGTTATATCAATGGAATTTGATCCTTTAATGGCCAAGGATGAGCCAAAAGAACTGGAAAAGTGCCGCATCTGCTGCAAGGACTTCACCGTGGACTCCACGGCCAAGAATCTCTGTGACCAGGCCAACAGTGTCCTGCTCTTCCACATAGAAGTCATTAGCGGTGTCTGGGTTAGTTACCTCCATCATTAAATGTACATATTTATCACTTAATCTCCCAATTATCCTTCAGATCAGCCTGAAACCTGACGAACCCCAGTTCATGTGCCCTGCCTGCGTTCTATCCCTCAATCTGGCCATCGATTTCCGGGAGATGTGCATCAACGCAGAGCTCAGGATCGGACAAAACAAGTCCTTAGCTGAAACGGAACCAGATAAAACGGAGGACTATGCTGCAAATGAGGATTCAGTTAGCTCAGAGCCTTATATGCTATTCGAAGCAGAGTACACCAACATAGAAAAGATCGAAGATCCAGAGGAAGAGCCTGCGGAAGGTGATGACCAGGAGCCAGCCGAGGATTCCTCTGACCCCACAGAGGAGGACCAACTAACTCAGGAGCCAGCCGAGGAATCCCCTGACCCCGCCGCTCAAGATCCACTTAATGTAGCTCTGGGGACCAAGATCCTCCAGGAATCCCCTGACACCACCACTCAAGATCCACTTAGTGTGGCTCTAGGGGCCAAGATATTGAAGGGACTGATAGACCAATACACGGGTAACGAAAAAAGGAGCCCAAAAAAAGAGGAGACAATTGTTAAGAAGACCAGGATCATAAAACCGGCAGTTTGTGAACAAAAACCAGCGCGCAAAGCCAATCCGAAGACGAAGGAGGAGAGGAACTCCATGCGACGTGCCCGGCTGCGGGCTAGAGAGCCGAACTTTGTGTGCGACCAGTGCGGCCAGGCCTTCCGCATGGCCCACAACCTGCGGATCCACATGCTGCGGCACAGTCGCACCAAGAACTACCAGTGCAGCGAGTGTCCGAAGACTTTCTACGACGCCTACATGCGCAACATGCACGTCCGCATCCAGCACCGCGGCGAATCGCCCTTCGCCTGCGGCTTCTGCAGCGAAACGTTTGCCTATGCGGGGGCTAGGCAAAAACATGAAAGGTATACAAGGATTAGAGCCCTGCATGAATGGATTCAATGAATTATTTTGAATTTGTTGTCTTATATAAATGATTTAATTAGAATTTTGAGTTTAATAGAATTGAATGAATTTGAATTTTGAGTTTAATAGAATTGAATTAAGGAATGGCATAAATTTCGAAATAATTCAAACGACAATTTCTATTGAATTTATAATATAAATAATTTTGTGATTAAATCTGCATGAATTTTATTTTCTAAGCAGTTAACATTGATTAACAAAAAATTTATTCATTCAATTCGAAATGAATTAGAAAAACATTCATTCAATGAATTAAACAAATCAAAAATTTCATGGCATACTAAAATAAAACAAAAATTGAATGGTTCACGCAGGGCTCTAGTAAGGATACTATAAAGACTTTACAACTACCCACACATAAAACTACTCTCCGCACTTTCAGTGAGGTACACAACGCTGCTCCCCGTCTGATTGTGAAGCGAATCAACCCCCGGCCCAAGTCTCAAAAGGGTGTGCGCCACCAGTGCAAGCTGTGCAACAAACATTACGCCTCCAAGTACGCGCTGAGCTGGCACGAAAAGGCGCACACCGAGGCAAACACCTTCAAGTGCCAGCAGTGCAGCAGGTGCTACTCGGATCCCAACAGCCTGAAGCGCCACGTGCAGATGGCCCACGAGAAGAGGCCGCTGCAATGCGATGTTTGCCTGAAGGGATTCTTTCAGCGCACAAAACTGCGTGAGCACGAGCTCATCCACACCGGCGAACGTCCCTATTGGTGGGTTAGCAATTGTATATGCTTAAGAAACAAGTGATAAACTGGTAATCTTTGCAGGTGCGAGGTCTGCAATGTGAACTTCCGCTACAAGTACAACATGAAGACCCATGCCAGCACTAAAATGCATCAGGAAAACCTTCGCAAAACGGGCCAAGAACCATTAGTTGAAGACTAATGAAAAGAGAGTTTGAATTTAAATCGCAGTTGTTTCATGTATTTAGGGCGGAGGGTTCCACTGTTTTCGATTTGCGTTTCTTTTTGCGTTCGTTTTCAGCGTGACTGGAGGAGTTGATGTGCTGTGTAAAGTTGCCAGCGCGCAGGAACCACAGATCGCACACTTCGCAGCTAAAATAAGTAGGGAAATTAGTTAAGCCGATGGGTAATGCTTATAAAAACTTACTGGAAAGTGCGTTCGCCCTTTTTGATGATCTCCCACTTGGACTGCGGAGCTCGTCCCTTTTTGCACGCCTCCCTGTTAAATAATAAGCTATTTTTATAGAGCAATATACAACCTGGGATTACTTACCTTTCGTGCCTCACCCGAGAGCTATTCGTGCTGTACTCCAGGCCGCAGAAAGTGCAGGCGTAGGGACCCTCCGTGTGCTTCAGCTGGTGGCGACGCAGCAGATGTAGGGTGTAGCACTTCTGGTGGCACTGCTCGCACTCAAAGGGCTTGGTGCCCGTGTGCCGCAGAAGGTGGACATTGAGATTGCTGGTGTCTTTGAATTGCCTGCCGCAGTGCTCGCAGATACAGGGCTTGGCGTTCTGACCGTTGCGGTCCACAATTCGCTTCGGCTGCTTGTCGTCGATGACTTTCACGTGGATCAGTTTCCTGCCCATGCGCATTGTGTGCCTGCTGGACTTGACACTGGTCTTGATTCTTCCCTGTTTGCCAGTGGTGGTGGTGGTGGTGGCCATCATTTCCGTCTGTGCTTCTCCGTAGTCCTCTGGCAGGGGCAGAAAGTCCTCACCCGGAGCATCTTCATAACTAATGCCTTCTTCGAGCTGCTCCTCTGGATACGAGGATTCCGTTTCCTGCTCCATTTGCACCTGGCTGGGTTCCAGTTTGATTTCGCTGGCCGCCATCAGCTCATCGATGCCCAGCGGATCGGGAGCGGCCGTTTGCTGGACGGGCAGCTGCAGCGGCACAGCGGCAGGCGCCTCGCCGAGATTCATTCTGCTCCGCCGCCTGGCGAAGTATTTCTCGATCTTCGCACAGCGCCGGCGGAATTTCTGGACCTGCCTGAGCAGCACCTGGCAATCGAAGCACATGAGGTTGGGCAAATTCTGGACATCCTGCAGCTGCAAGTTTGTAAACAATCTTTAGTGGAAACGGAATCCCTAATGGAATCTATTACCCTTCGTGCTCACCCAGCAATTTGTTATGGAGCGCACGCACTGCAGCAGCTTTCGACCCTCCTTCGAGAAGATCTGGAGGCATTGGTCGGCCACGATGGTCTTGCCGCAGGTGCGGCAGAACTCGTTCATTTTTGCCCAATTGATTTGCCAATTATTTAAATTTATTTGTTTGACAAGCACAAAAGATATGCCCGTTGGTCGGAATACCACATTTCATGGCTGGTCATACTTAAATTACAAATATATTGGTTTAAATTAGAGATGGACTAATTTATTTAGATTTATTTTTAGATTTAACATACAAAAAATGTTTTATAAATTTAAATTTGTTAAGCCAAATAATGAACTTATGAGAACAGAACTTTATAACTGTATAGTGGTTTATCCTTATGGTTTATCAATGCATATCTGAATGCATTTTTCTCCACCCAATACTTTCTTCTTATTTGTATCATGTTAAATTGTTTATGTGTAAAATGTAAATTTAGTTTTACTAGATATATATTTATTACAAAAATAATTACAAATATAATTTTAGTATTTTCCCCACCACGACACGAACTATCGATAGGCAGGTGTGCAGCCCTAGCCGATGAATGGTAACTCTGGCCGTTTCCGCCCTCCATCTTTCTGCATTGACTTTTCACGATGGTGAGTTCGCTGCTACTGAATTCTGCGAAAATAATGGTTTTTTACTGTGAAAGTGGCCTGCAATTTATGGCAAAACATGACTGAAGTGATGCCCCAAGGGTGGGCCATGAAAACACCACCCTCCGAAAGGGGGAAAATGCGAAAATCCGGGCTAAAAACAAAAGCATGCCCTAACCTCGAAAGCGGCCAGCTCTCCAGGTGCTGCTCCCGTGGTCAATTGGGGGGATTATTTGTATTATTATTAGTGCCACTTATTAACACAAGCCTTTTGTTTATCTATCCCCCAACAGCCGCCTAAGAAGGACGCAAAGTCTTCGGCCAAGCAGCCGCAAAAGACACAAAAGAAGAAGGAGGGATCCGGCGGCGGCAAGGCCAAGAAGAAGAAGTGGTCCAAGGGAAAAGTCAGGGATAAGCTGAACAACCAGGTGCTGTTCGACAAGGCCACCTACGAGAAGCTGTACAAGGAAGTTCCCGCCTACAAGCTGATCACCCCATCGGTGGTCTCCGAGCGTCTGAAGATCCGCGGCTCCCTGGCCAAGCGTGCTCTCATCGAGCTGCGCGAGAAGGGTATGTGTTTCGGCTTGAATCCAGTATCCCATTTGTTCTAGAACTAATCCTTCATCCTCTCCGCTTTCAGGTCTGATCAAGCAGGTCGTGCAGCATCATTCCCAGGTCATCTACACACGTGCCACCAAGGGCGATGAGGCATAAATGTTTTACCTTTTACCCGTCTCGCTAATCCGTGGTTGCATTCGCTTTACAATAGTACACTGATTGTATTCGAGGGCTCTACGATGCCGCTGTGTGTGAAATGTTGAATAAACTTGCTTTCTTATTGATGTAAGGGACATTTGCGTGATGTTTTATTGATATGATACTCTCTCATCGAAAAGTATCGCGGATCCTAGAATTCAAACTAGTTCGCCGACTGGGAGTATGTGTACTGCTGCTCTAAGAGACTAGTATCTTGAACAATGCTATATTCTATTTCTAGCACTAGGTCAGTTCTAAAATTTGTTCGCCTTTTATCAAGATTCTGAAAAAGGATAGTTTTTGTGGTTTTCGATTTTTTATCAGCTGAGTGCATAAATTCATTTACCGATGTTAGTCTCCTGCATGGAATACCAAGATACTTCCTAGGTCTGCGTTTTCCGCATTGAAAATACAAAACTTTTTGTGATAACCAGGGAATGTGTGAGTAATAAATTATTCATCAATTAAAAAAGCCAATTTCTTTTTAAGTAAATTATTTGTCATGAATTTATTTTTATGAGTAATGAATACTTGCATAGAATATAATAATTTCGTTATACTCTCACAAAATGGTATTAATTTTTATACAAATATTTACTTTTGCATTAAACTGTGGATTTGTCAACTTGGTTGACACCTTTAATTTTGAGGTTTCTTATTTTTATAATAAGCGTTAAGTTTACATTAATTAGTATACATATATGTTTATAATATTTTTTTTGATTTTGAGTTTCCAATAAGTATTTGTACACGGCTTGTTCTTCCTTGCGACGACATTCACACTTTACGTGATCACGTGACAGTGAGCACTGGAATACGCGAGCTAATAGAAAGTTTAATGTACATAAGCCACTTTAAAACCTTTTTATCTGAACTCAAAGTATAGATTAATCTTATTTAATGGTTGGAAAATATATTAAAGACAGAGTCCCAATTAAATTAACACAGCCTTGAAATATCTATGGAAGCATGGACTAAAAAGTTGTTGAACCGAAGATTAATGTGTAAAATAACGGCTGCACTAATTAAATTTCAGGTATCAGGCTATACCAGGGTTCGTAAACATCACTCATTTTAAACATCCCTCAAAAACAAGCCGGCTGTGATGAAAATAAATATATATCAATCACGATAAAAACAAATTGTCATCTTGGTTACTCCTCATTTTATTGTGACAAATATCACCGCCCTATGTTGATATTTATATATTTAAACAAAATGACATATTGTGAGGGATATTTTACGAACCCTGGGCTATACAGAGAAATAATAAGAATGTTGTCCGATCCAAACAATTTCTTAACTTGCTCTGGGTAAAAAGTTGAAACTTTTGGGCTGGTATTCAACTTAACAAAAAGTCGCATAAAACAAAAACTTCATATGAAAATAACGTCAAGAAATTTTGTTTCATATGAAGGTTTTTGTTATGGACGACTTTTTGTTATTTTGAATGCCAGCTATTTATGAGTAGGGTATATAATTTTACCCCAAATACAAAGCGCTTAAAATAAAACCCTTCCGGGTTGCCACCCCAACAATAGATTGCTCACCCAGCGAACATTCAGGCGGATGCCCACTGTGCGCCGTTGCCATTCACAGCGAAGGGTTGCCTGCGCTCGGGCAAAATGTTTACGTGGTTACCTTTATTTTGATGACAACACGGCAGATTGGTTTGGTGCTGGCAAAGACGGGAGTTCGGTTTTGTTCTGGTATCTGGCAGCCAGTAAAAATGAATTAAGCAGTAGCAAAATCGCAGATCGACCAGCCCGCGCCGCACAACTGTGCACACAAGACGACGCAAGACGACGACGACTTCGAGCAGGAAGCGTTTGGGGCTGTGAGGTAATTTTGGAATCAAAGAAAAGACCTGCTGCCGCCGCCGCTCGCCGATAAAGATTCTCGCGGATTCGGCCAGATTCGGAGTGGGAATCACGGAATCAGCTGGAACTAGCGGCTATAGCTTCGTCGCCCCCCCGATAATACCACGTAAGCAAACAAAGCGCGTTATCTGGAGGCAATCCGTTCTCATTTAGATCTCGGGGTTCCTTTTGCAGATCCACAGCCGGCAAGATGATACCGCTGTCGCACAAGGACCGCAGCAGCTTCGGCTACCGGGTGCGGGAGAAGCTCAACAGCTGGAAGCGGCTCATCTTCTCCGACCGCAACTCCCGCAATCTGTTCCTCTTCCTGCTGCTCAACCTGAGCTTCGCCTTCGTGGAGCTCTTCTACGGCATTGCGACGAATAGTTTGGGTGCGTTCTTGGCCACTAATTGTGTTTTATCTTATCCGCAGTTAATAACCCTCTTGATGGTTAATCCGCAGGCCTGATCTCCGACTCGTTCCACATGTTCTTCGACTGCACGGGCCTCTTGGCGGGACTGGCCGCCTCGGTTATCACCAAGTGGAAGGCCAACGACAAGTTCTCGTATGGCTATGTGCGCGCCGAGGTGCTGGCCGGTTTTGTCAACAGTCTGTTCCTGTTGTTCATCGCCTTCTTCATCCTGTCGGAGGGCGTGGAGCGACTGATCGAGCCGCCGGAGGTCAAGCACGAGCGTCTGTTTGTTGTGTCCGTGCTGGGCCTGCTGGTCAACTTGGTGGGCATCTATGCCTTCAATCACGGCGGCCACGGACACTCGCATGGCGGCGGTGGACACGGGCACTCCCACGGCGGCGGCGGTGGCCATGGACACGGACATTCGCACAGCCACAACGACGCCGGCAGCCACAATCACCAGGCCATCACTTTGGACAATGGTAACGTGTAGTTTGAGATTATATCTCAAAGATATACTGGGAGTAGGAGCTATTAGCTAATCTTTAGGGTGCGGTTTACTTACGCTGTGACTGAGCTTAAATTTTGATAATTTACTTTATGCACCATTCATTAATTGCTATGAATTAGTTAGAAATTATGAATCACACATTATTGTGAAAAACAATAGTTTTTAGTCATGTAAAATTCGATTCCATTCCTTCATTTCGCTAATTAGCTACTTTTTTATTGCTCTAAAAATTAGTATTTTGTTAAAGCGATTGTGATTTTCTTATATTAAATTTGTAGTGGGCTAATTAATGATAAGGACCTGTCAGATAAACTGGTTACTGATAATATTGTAATGAATTTCCCCCTGTTTCTAGGTCACGGACACTCGCACGACCACGACAGCCATGACCACTCGCATGGGGACATGTCGGGCAGCAACTCGCAGATCATGCGCGGCGTCTTCCTGCACATCCTGGCCGATACATTGGGATCGGTGGGCGTGATCATCTCGGCAGTGCTGATGCACATGTTCGGCTGGATGATTGCGGACCCCATCTGCTCCATCTTCATCGCCCTGCTCATAGCGCTGAGTGTGCTGAGTTTGATCAAGGAATCGATCATGATCCTGATGCAGCGTCAGCCCACCGACCTGGATCGTTCGCTGCCGCAGTGCTACCAGAAGGTCACGGGATTGGCCGGCGTCTATGCGGTGCAGGAGCCGCACTTCTGGACCCTCTGCTCCGATGTCTACGTGGGAGCCCTCAAGCTGGAGGTGTCCAAGAACGTCGATCCCAAGTACGTGGTTACGCACACGCGGATGATCTTCGAGGCGGTGGGCGTGAAGCAGATCTACATACAGCTGGATTACGTTTGATCCAGAGGAGATCGGCCCACCGGTGTCCTTGTACAATGATGTGTATATTTAACAACGCGTGTCGTATGTTTGTGTGCAGTGCGAACGGGCGTCGACGTTATCAAAAATTATCTTGAAGTTTTAGTTCACTGCGACGCCACAAAAACCCCCCATCACTTCCAAAAGTCCCC